TCTTTTTTTTAAAAAAAAGAGAGAGAGAGAATTGTCTGGTATGACTTGTTTTTGAGAAACCCATGCTGAGTCTTAGTAATCAAAGCATCCTTTTCTAAGTTCTCACAGACCGCCTGTTTAATTATCTGTTCTAGGATGTTTCCTGGTATCGACATCAAACTGACTGGTCATTAGTTACCTGGGTCTACTCCGCCCCCCTTTTTTTAAGATGGGGACAACATTTACTCACCTCCAGCCTGCAAGGACATCACCTGTTCTCCAAGAAATCTCAAAAATGGTATAAAGACTCTCTGGGATTACATCTGCAAGCTCCTTTAGTACCCCTTGGGTCTAGTTCATCAAGCCCTGGAAATTTTAATTCATTTAAAGTAGCTAGGTGTCCCCTTACCACCTATTTTCCTACCAGAGAGATACTGAAACAAGGAAATTCTGTTGGTATCCGTAGTCCAACACAGACTGACGTATGCTTAAGTCCACCAATAACAACAAGCTTAAAAGTGCACTTTACAACTGTGCTGGATCATGGCCTTTGTGCCCAACAACAAAACAATTATGGATTTTATACGTAATGATACCATACAAGGAAAATTGGGGCATCATGTTGCACTAAAAATGAATGATTTATTAACTACAGGCTGATTTGATAATTTTACATAAAAGAGATTGTCTGACTTATACTAATATGATGTAAAAGTCAGCATCTCATCTAGCTCATCAACATGTAGTTGTTATAGGCTATGATCCAGAGAAATATCACTTTTGCTTTCGGTGGGATTTCATCTTTTTTATTCCTCTAACAGCAGCTTTCCAAAGCTTTTCCATCTGAAGGGACTTGCTGGAGTGTGGCCATAGAGTTTTACCACTAAGCATTTTACTTAAAAGTTTTAATGTATGTTACAAAACGGCAAAAGTTGATTTAGGATTGTAATCTTCAATTTTCCATAAAAACAAGCTCCAATTTCTCTCCCCATATGAATGTGTGTCCACAGCTTCAAAATGTGCTCTACTTAAATAACTTGAAGTCACTTTGCTGACAGAGGAAAAAGAAAAGCCAGGAGAAGTCAAAGCATCGATGTATTACAAATAATACTGCAGAAGTTTAGTAAAGTTAAGTGTTATACCAGACCAGGCTCTCAGAAAACCACAAAACCTATGCTAAAGTCATTCTAAGGAACTGCTTTAAAACCACAAAAGAAAAGACATTCAGAACTGAGGACGGACTGCTGTCTGTAGCTTAACCAATGAGCTTAAGCACAGCAGGAAGACAAAACTGGGCATGAGGAACAACTACAATATCGCAACATGTCTGCAATCCCCAAACTTCTTGTATATATTGCTGAAACAACTTGGCAAATTAGAAAATGCAGTGAATTCTGCGTCATCTGCCCAAGATTGAAGTGGAGAAGCAACCCTTTGTTTAGAAAAAAATAATACCACCATTACTGTAAATTACTTCAAGTCCAAGGTTAAATCAGGGTCTATGGACATAGCAAGTCAATATAAAAAGTCAGTTTACTTTGTATAAAAAGTAATTTGGGCATAATTGTTTCTGAATAAGTGTTAATAGGGAGGTTTTCTTTTCATTTCTTTCATTAAACACTTATATCAGAATCTTGCACATGATCAGCTCATCAAGCTGCGATAGTTTTTGCAATACCATTCTATTTCCTATGAAGCTTTTCCCTACAGGGTTGTTTCTCTAGAACAACCTTCCCCAACCTAGTGGTGTCCAGGTGTTTTAAAATACAACTTACACTATCACTGGCCATGCTGTCTGGGGCTGATGGGAGTTGTAGTCCAAAACATCCCAAGCAAATATATTAGGCAGTCATGTAAGACATTAACTTTACTCTCCAGTGATTGAACACCACAACTTATGTTCTACGTATCACAGAACCTGGCAACCATCATTAATGAGATGCCAAGAGCATTTTACACAAGATTACCAATGGCCCCATGCAAATTCTATTGCATACTGCAAACTAAACTACAAGCATAAAAGTTCAATCGATCCTATATCTAGTATTAAGTAGAACTAGAAGTGCTGATTCAGAGAGTAAACAATGTCTATGGCTGTACTGGATTTATTCCATTATTTCCTAGTATTTTTTTTAGCTCTTACAGTGGTACCTCAGGTTAAGTACTTAATTCGTTCTGGAGGTCTGCTCTTAACCTGAAACTGTTCTTAACCTGAAGCACCACTTTAGTTAATGGGGCCTCCTGCTGCCGCCGCGCCACCAGAACACGATTTGTGTTCTCATCCTGAAGCAAAGCTCTTAACCTGAAGCACTATTTCTGGGTTAGCAGAGTCTGTAACCTGAAGCGTATGCAACCTGAGGTACCACTGTATTATGATTAAATATCTATCCTACCCTTCCAAAGGAGCCCAGGGCAGCAAGCACAAAAGCAAAAAACAACAATTAAAATCTCCAAAAACAATTCTAATGCAGATGCAGACTGGGAAAGATTGTAAAAAAATAACCATAAACCATAAAGGCAGACACATAAATATCAGTACACAAGTATCAAGTTGAAGAAATGTGCATCTTCCTTTCACACTTTCCTGCAGGAAATCTGGCATAGCCACAGTGAAGTGTGAAGTGACCCTCAGGGCAACTTCAAACACTTTCCTCAATGGTATGTAATATTTGGAAACCTTGCAAAAATGAGTTCTCCCTCTCCCTTCCATGTGTCATCTTGCTGAACCAAGCTTCTATGTTCATAACCTGGAAGGGGACATATATTAACAGAACTCCAAACATTTAAAAAGCTTGCAGTTCCTTAACTGTGGAGAAAGCATAACCAGTGAAGCAACCAAACATGGAAAAGCTAAAGACAACCAGCTCAAATTGATGAGGATAGACGCTTCCTACTAATACCACAGGTAAACCAGGATGTGGTTCCACGATATGTCCTTGCCAAGCCAAACTTTACCCACCGTGTCAAACTGTTCTGAACCTGCGTACTCACATGCACACCACTAATGTGACAGGAGCAGGAGGCATGGGTGGCAACAGCAGCAAAAAGCGGCTGTTTGGACTTACTTTCCTCCATGTGACTGATTATGCAACTTTTTAATGGAGTTTGTTCTGTTAAAATTATCTCTGTAGCAGACATCTAAGAGAATGATCCAGTTTCATGTCATTGAAATAAAAAATAAAGTCTAGATTACAGAATACTTAGCTTTCAAAACTGCATTTAAAACCTTGATTTATAGATTAACAAGAAATATCGGAAACCACAAGAACTGTTTTGCACTACTGAAACTTAGAAGGTGGAATCTATTTAGATTAAATTTGGGAACATTTCCCCCTTCTGACTACCAAGCTTTAGCCAAGAGTGAATTTTTATATTCGTTTTATAAATACAAGAAGAAAATTGGGATTAAAATGGAACTGCTGACAGGCCATTTTTTATAATAGCAATGTTGTTTTAGCTCTAATGATGCCAATCCAGCATTTAAAAAATCTTTTAACTAAGATTGTGATCTAAGCTTCAAATATTTAGAAATATGCTTAACTGAAATTTACTTCCAAGTAAATATAAATATCAGGGTACAAATCAATGTTTGCAAGTTACTTGTAAGAAGCATACTGAAGTAAAGCATGCCAACTGAGCATGGTGTGGTATGAGTTACATCTCAAGGGACTGAAGATGGTGGCTGAAATCCAGTGAAGCATATGTGTGCCAGATGTGTGTAAACAGCAGAACACAACAGCCCCCACGGTGGCACATCTGAAAGGGATTTCCAAAATGGTTTACCCAAACAATCCTAACTAAGGCTGTGCAGTAGTGAAGTGAAATAGAGTGGAGCAACAGATATATCACTGTATCCCAAGCCCCGCTTTCTCACACCAACGATGGTTAATGGGGGGGGGGGCATTTGCCTCACTATGCCAACCCAGGCATACCTGGTGAGCTTTGGATCCAGCAGATCTAAAGCTGATGGTGCCCTGCCTGAAACACCATGTTTTGAGGCCTCTCAATTCCTACCACTGGCTTTCAGCACTTGAACTGCACTCTTAATTTTTCAGCATAGTATCCCTCAACATGCACTCACAATCATATGAGCATTCAGGAATGGGGTATCTGGACCACATTCAATAGGCACTCAAAACTATCCTTATTTAATTCTTAATGTTCTGGAACATATGTGTAAAACATGTTGCAACGTTGCTTATGCTTCTGGCTTTTGAGTGTCTGAGAGCACAACAGAACATTTGGGAAAGCAGATGCCAAATCATACAGCACAACACTGACTATGCCGCTATATGCCTGGCTACCAATATTCAAATAGAATATGTGAGTTAGCACCAGATCTCCAACTCACAAAACATTTCCCATGCTGAGTCATGGTGTTGCTTTCCTTTTTCATAATTATGGTCATCACAGTAGAGAGTAATTCAGATGAACTACTGTAGCAACCATAAAGAAGGCTGATCGCCGAAGAACTGATGCTTTTGAATTATGGTGCTGGAGGAAACTCTTTGAGAGTCCCATGGACTGCAAGAAGATCAAACCTATCCATTCTGAAGGAAATCAGCCCTGAGTGCTCACTGGAAGGACAGATCCTGAAGCTGAGGCTACAATACTTTGGCCACCTCATGAGAAGAGAAGACTCCCAGAAGTTGGGAAAGATGGAGGGCACAAGGAGAAGGGGACGATAGAGGACGAGATGGTTGGACAGTGTTCTTGAGGCTACTAACGTGAGTTTGACCAAACTGCAGGAGGCAGTGGAAGACAGGAGTGCCTGGCGTGCTCTGGTCCATGGGGTCACGGAGAGTCGGACATGACTAAACAAAAACAACACTGTAGCAACAGGCTAGAGAACGGTGTGGATTGAGAAGTAGAGCTTGATGCTTCCCTATCCAGTTTATCAGACATGTAAGATTCTAAATCTTTCCAAGAAAGGGAGTGCCATTGTGAACAGGAGTCTTTTATGCTCATCGCCATTTAGAATATAAGTGTTAATTAAAATTACTAAGAGATCTTAAGCTTACCTTGTTTTGGCAAATCTGATGAACTGATCTAGAATGCACATCCGCTATCACTGCTGCACTACAACCCACATTGAGGTCAAAGACTTCTAGTGCTCGATTGCTACCAGCTGCCAGTACAATATCTGTTATCTCTGTAAGTTAAAGTTCTGTTAAGCTGTGTATATGTATGTACATCTCTTTCAAGCAAGCAAAATGCGCACTACATTTAAATAAATTAAGCAGTTTTGCCTGACTTCACTAGCCAGTGTTGTTCAACACACTGGTAGAAATAGCACCAATGACAAAGCTGCATCATCATAATGCATGTTTCCAAATTTGTACCACTAATGATTTTACAGCATGATAATAGCAGCATAGTAAAGCTAATGGTTTTGTTTTTTATGATATTAAAACATAAAACTATAATATCATTATATTAAAGAACTGAAGTTAGCTGATACAAACCTATGCATGCTTACTTGTGCATAAGTTCCACTGAACTAAATGGGACTAATTTTATTTATTTATATTTAACAAAATTGATATACCGATTGATTGTAATAAACCTCAAAGCAGTTTACAGAAAAACATAAAACATTAAAATTTATCAATAAAAGACATAATTTTTTATTAAAAAAACATTCAAAACTAATTAAAATCAACAATAAGCTACAGACTAAAACACATGTAGCAGCTTAGTAATCGTGTTAAGAGACTAATGCCAATTGTTCCAAATGAAATGCTTCTGACTGAATGCTGAACATAGGTAATAATTGATAAGAGGATACAAGAATAGAATTCATTGACTGCTGAAAGGCTGGTAATTTCCACTGTAGATGCCATGGGGAATTTCTGTACTGATTTACAAATGCTCTTATTTCGGTATCTACAGAAATATATAAATAACATCAAATAATAAAAACAATGAAATAAACAATGAATTTTTTCAACAGGTATCTTATAATCAGTTCTTATACTTACAAACATAAAGTAAAAGATATCTGTGTAAAAATATTTTACATAATTTTTTGTTATAAAATTTAAATCTAGTGTATATCTCACAGCACTGCATCAGTTAATTTTCTTTTGTATTCCTGTCTATTCCTATTATTGGGAAAAGGAGGAAGAAATGCATGAACTCTTGGTCCAAATGCAGCAAACTTGCATGTGTGACTATGGCATCAGAGATCAAACGCCACAGTTTTTAAGGAGGGAAGGAAGAAGTGAGTGGACAATTTAGACTGTGTTAACATGTTCTTCTAATTAAGAGATCTAACACATTCCTGATGTTTCTGTCTATAGTTGCACTGAATCTTTTCCAAACAAGCATTTTTCCAAATCTGACTCATCAAAGAACTGAGTGAAGAATTAGGTGAAATGGGAGTAATAGCACAATGGTACATTACAAGCAAAACTAGTGGGAAATCAAAATAAAGAAAGCGACAAACAAAACATCAGGACAAATTAAACTTTTTCTTTTGTGTTTCTTTACTTATATCAAACTTGGCTGTCAGGATAATTTGTGGGTGTTTTAATTTTTTCCCCTCTCTCCTTCTGTGTCTGTGTGCTATTGTTTGTTTGGCATTCAGCACTGAATTAAATCCAGTAAAGGAACTAAGCACAGGCAATGAAATCAGTTGATTTGTTAAGTGAAAGAAAATATGTGATCCTAGTAGTTATTAATAGCATAATCCCCCCAAATAAACATCTTAGACATCTGAAATCAATGAGATTTAAACTTGCGTAACTTTGGTTGATATATGTGTGTATTAACTTGTTTGTATATTTAAAATTCCTCACATCCAACTGCTAATGGATCTATACCCTGATGAAAAGTGTTTCATTACTGTCCACTGATTAAAGAATTTTATCTGATTAAGCATCTGCCTGTAAACTGTTTGGAAGAAATCAATACATTTGGAAGGAACTGTGAGATAGCTTTTGCTTTTTGTTTTTTTACATTATACGGTAATGTTCCCTGATGAAAGGCAAGGCCATCTTTAATACCTTCTCTTTCATTCCTTATTACATTAACACAGCAAAACCAAATTAGCCCCCAAAACAGACAAGTGTTCCTGGAATTCTCAAACACAATAATTAAAATTGCTCTCATGATTACAATTGATCAAATCATTAACTAAAGCAGGGTAGGGAACCTCAGACCCAGCACTCAAATGCAGCTCTCAAGGTCTCGTTTTCGGGCCTTTGGGAGTCTCTCCAAGCCACACCTCCTCCCAAGCCACTTCTTTCTGTAGAGCACATCTTTCACCAGCCTAGCTTCACAGCCTCAGTCAACTGCATGGCTGGAATGTGCCCTTGCTTTCCTAGATGGAAGGCACAAGGGGGATGAGGCTGTGTGTAGAAACTTGCCCACTGTGCAAAGGTAATGCTTATTGTTATGTACTGAAGTTCTTGTTGAGAACTTAACATATTAACAGCTTTATTCAGCGTTGGTCAGAACAAAGGAAAAACATGACTGCCTGCCTGCATGCCTAGGCACAGAGAGAGAACGAAAGCTATATACAAAACAGAAACTTCCTGTGAGCCGGAAGTATGCAGACTTTGTGACTCACAACACCCTGCTCCCTTTTTAAGGAGGAACGGAAATATCCTAACAGTTCTCACCCTGGGGATACTGCAGATAGTTATGCAAATAAGGGATCGAAAGTGACGTTCAGTGATTGGATAGCTTTAGAAAGTTGTTACAGTAACGTTGTACTGGAGCTCTATATAAGCAGGCTGACTGAGCCCTTCAGTTCAGTTCTGCCCTGGCCTGTGAATAAACAAGAGCTGTTTGAAGAATCGCTGTGTCGTCTGATATGTTCACCCACAACTTAACACTTATATTCATTGATGATCCACCCACTTTTGCCTCTGGCTTCACTCATTACTGACATGTAGCCCCCAGATGGGAATGTGACCCTAGAGTTGAAAAAGGTTTCCCCATCCTAAACTATAACTTTTGTTGATCAAACTGATCAAGGCTGCAACCCTATACATCTAGAAGTATGCCCCATTGAACACAGTGGGGTTTACTTTTGAGTAAACATGCATAGGCTTGTACTACAATTTGCAGCCCTAGAAATAACATAGTATAATGCTTTAGCAAAAGATGCCAAAAAGACAGTAATGATTCCAAGGTAGTGTCGGGCAGAATTAAATCTGAGGTACAATGAGATTAACTGCAATAGAATTGAATGTGACCAGAGGCAATTTTCATGCTAACAATATTCCTATTTTTATTTTCTGGTGCAAGATGTAACATTAATAGCAAAATCTGATGCATGTTTATTAAAAAGTCCCACTCTATTCCATAGCACATTCTGCAAAGTAACTATCCATAGGACTGCAGTTTTATTTTTTCCTCTTTCATTACTTTGTCTAGGTGTCTTACAGGATCTAAAGAATACTTGATATTTCTAAGAATCGTAAGTCTTTACCTACCGTTTCATCTCATCCTTGCTGGTATCAAGGTAGCATCTTAACATGTGAAACTCTGCTCCACAAGACAACAATATAAATGTATCTATATAATAAAACTGTGCTGATCGAATGGATTTACGAAACATTTCCTTTCCCTAAAAGTAAAATATATATAATTAACTATGTATACTGTATAATTTTCAGTCAGAAAAATACAGATGGTTTCTTTATGGCACACGGTCAGATTACTTCCTTTGTTAATTTTCTAACAGGTGATTTCTCTAAATTACAAATCTTGATTCATCCTACACAGTTGTCCATTTCTTTATAATTACTATTAAATTAGTCAAGGCCCAAAGCCCTAAGAAAATACAATGTCACTCTGAAAATCCAGTCATTTACAAAGAATCTAGTCTGACTTCAGTCCTCTTTTCCACAATAACATTACATCACAAAAATTACAATGTCCTGAATGCCAATCCAAAGGCAATCTCTCCTCAACGTCTTTGACACAATCAATTTCTTCTTTTTCTTTGCATTCTCTATAGTAGAGGAGGAGAACCCTTTTTCAGCATGAGGGCTACATTCCCTTCTTGGCAACTTTTATGGAGCTACAAGTGAGCATTGGGTGGGGTCAGAAGCAAACATGGACAAATCTTAACAAATCTAAAATTTACCTTTGTGTGTAGACTACACACACACACACACACACACACACACACACGCCTCTTTCTCCACTCCAGACAATGGCCCATGATGGAAGTGGAGCATTGTAACAATTTAGCAACCATTTTGAAATACCAGAGAACTTCGAGGGGAGTGGCACTCAAGTCATAAAGTGCTCATGAATCACAGCACACACAGTTTTATGTGCTTGATAATTTCAGTTCCATCACTATTGATAACTAGAAGTGTTAAACTAACCTAAAAATTTTTTCACAATTACTAAGGTGGCAATTGGAAATACATTCCAAACAGATACAATTGGTATGATTTTGGGGTCATAGAGAACAGGCGTCATAGAGAACAGTACCCCAAATCTATCTAACTTGCACGAGATGTTTATTACCAGACATAAAGCAGGTTCTGCACTGCTGACTGACCAGATCCTTAATGTTCTGTCTTCAGAAGATGAAACAAGCCAGTTGTTGTCATGGCTCCAACCAACTGAGTTAACAGCACCATCATGCCCTAACAAAAATAAAGGAAAAATGTTTTTGGAAAACAGGTCTGTCATACATTCCTAATAAATCAGAAGACTTTCCCCCCCAGAAAGATCACTGTTCATCTAAGAGAATTCTTATATATAATAATGTATGAATGTATGTAGAGATACAAAGAGGGGTTTAAAATAATTAAATTAAAATTTCAATCCACAAAGGAAAATAATGGGTTTTCTATTAACTAATAAAATACCTATTCTTCTTCCTGCTGAGGTGGACTTAGGGAGAACTGGAATCAGTGTGGAGTTAGCCATCTCCCTTATTTGTCAAAATTCCCATCCTGGACAACTAAACTGCTTCAAAAGTGTCAGTTACAGAGATTGTTCACCAGAGCAGGAAGGGCAAAGGGATTCATTGGCCTTATCAATAAATCCCTTTTCTTTTTGTTGCAGTGTACAATTTCACCCTCCAACTTGAATTCCTAATTCTTATAGGCTTAGGTATCCTCAAGCCACATACAGGCTACATTTTCCCCTGTAAGCTAAATATTTTAGTGAGAAGAGATGACTTGCTCATTCTTCATTTTGTTAATTCTCATGTCCTGATACTGTCTTTCTTGTAGAACTTTATTTGGCCAAAACATACTTGTCCAGAGGAGAGGCCATTAGCAAATCCGAGACTGATCACAACGTGCCGTTAACCAAATATTTATATAAATTTCCCATTATCTAGGGAAATCAATTTCTAGTACGGGAATGCAATCAGTAAAATATGCAATGGCATAATGCTTCTTTCTGAATCCACTAGGATGCCTGGTTTAACAGGCATGGAAACTGAAGTTAAATAGCTAGTATCTATGTATTTTTCCATTTATGCAATTGCAGTCTGAGCTGATTTATAATGAAACAAGTATTACTACACATAAACAATTTTTTTTTTTGTTTGCCCTTCATGAAAATTTCTCAAGGCAATTACAAATCCCAGAATTTCCCAGTATTGCCAGACATTCTTATGGAAAATGTGACACCTGAGAAACCAAGAAAATGGAATTTCCCAACCCCACTTAGAGCATCTCTACAGCCTGGGATCTGGGGAAAGAAACAATAATAGCCTGATTCTGCCCACCTGCTCACAGCTGCTCTGACTCTATTTAAAAACAATTTATTATTATGAAAAATTCTGAGGCAGAGATATAAATACACATAGCAAAAGTATGAATGTGTGACACACTTGTTCTTGTTTTTTCAGAAGTCTAGGTTTAGAATCAGAGAAGTCTCTGAATGTTTTACTTTATACACGTCAGTAACATGTTTAACAGAATATACAGTGCAGTTGGAATTTTACCATGATGAACAGGAATATATTCCCTAAATTTTATTTCAAGTATAAAGATTGCTTCTGACTACAGCTTGTTTTAGCCAGGCATTCTGATATAAATATACTGCAAGTTGGTAGCAGTACAAAAGGATAGATAGCCTAAACCTTGTTACGACAGTGTTAAATGATGCCCTTTATTGTGCTTCACATGCAAATCAGAGTTGTAACTGAACTGCAAGTTTCATCAACACTTATGGAATAAACTTCTCTCTTTACAAAGGGAAGACTGGTATTGTAGAACATTAATTTAGCAACTTCAGTTCAGTGTGGCCACTTCGTTTTTCAATCCTATAAACTGTAAACAAATTCAAAGTGTTAAAAGAGCCGATCCAACATCCCATTGTCATAACCCAGCACATATCATTTACAAAGATGAAAACTGTTAGGTTAAAGGTATAGTATTTTAAAGTCCTAGACTGCCCCCTAGTGCACTGAATTTAAATTTGCAATATACATGTATGCTTTTCATTTATAAATTTATACGCTGATTCTCCATTTTTGTCACAACCAATCTCCATAAGCTATGAACGACGGGTTTGAGTCTCGCTAGTGTAAAATAGAGCCAAGCTGAAATACTCCCCTTGTTTCAGTGAGTTTTCAAGGGGGATTTTTGAGATGGGGTAAACCTACTGGAGACCTTCTTCAGGGCATTGCTAACCAACAACCATTATCGTTCTTCCCAGGATCCCCTGGAAGTGGTGTCATTCCAAGGCATTCTAGGTTAAGGTGGGGACTCCACTGGCAGCCTTTTTTGGGGGGGCAGCCACAATTTCCCCATGGGATGCCTTAGACAAGGCACTGTTCCCGGGCTTTGGGAATGACAGGAGGCGGTGGCAGAGGGTATTGTAGTCGCTGGTAGGCAGGCACTGACAGCAGCTCTGCTGCTGCCGAGACTCACAGGGAAAATTCAAAACCAGCAGGACCAGATTTTCCTAAAGGACTGGAAGAAATTTATGTTGTATCTGAAAGACAATTGTAATTACTTAACATCGCTTATAGGGTTACAAAAAGTTTTGTAAGGAGGACTTTATAAATTATTGGGAAAAGCATTAAGATTAGCTGATGCAAGATTGGATTTATAGCAATAAGCATAGTAATAAAATGCAAAATCAGAAAGAAATTTAGAAAACCACTAGAAGGGGTCTTAGGCTGTGATAGCCAAAGATTTGTTATGTTGCTTTGGAGTTGTTATGTTGGAAAATTTGTGCAAAAATAAAAAAGAGAGCAGCTCTGCTGCTACCACCAGCAAAGAAGCCCACACCTCCAAGGAAATTCTGCTCCCACAGCCCCTGTAAGCTCCCTTCAAACCTTTTCAGGGATTTAATCAACCCCTGAAAACAAACAGAAGAAAATTTCACCTTCCAGTCAGGTTTAGCAATATAAGACAAAATAGGCAAATTAGTGGAAATGAAACTGAGCATACTGGGCTTCAAGGTTCTAAAATGAAAAAGAAATCATATACATTACTGGCGCTAATAACAGGTAGCATAGTAAAAACAACATTTGCTTAAAATGCTGTATCTTGCACTAATAGGAAGTAAATAGAAGACCTAAGACTGAAAAAGGCTGGAATTAATTTACCTGAATAAACTGTTGGTGTTCCTGTAAGATTTGAATTGAATGCCAGCAAAGTTTTGTCTGCCAAGCCACAAGCCAACAACTCTCCATCCCCTGTAAGAATAAGGAGTATAGGAACTTAATCTGATAATGCTAAAGTATGAATATACCGAATTATTTTTTTAAAAAATATTGTAGTTATATATACGCTGCATTTAAAGAATTCCTCAGAAGTCAATGGGATGTATTTCTGTGTAGACATGTATAGGATTGTGTAGTCAATGCTAAAAATCAAGGCAGGCTTGCTGTCTGAATGAACCTTAATGAGCCCTATATACGTAAAAATGATGTTTAACAGGTGAATGCTGCAGACATCTAACGTAACGCATGAACATTTTACTATACCTGAATACCGAATACAGCATATAGGAGTTGGCTTATCAGCTACAATAATCTGTCTCTCAGATTTGTTTGGAGGAATGTTGACATGTGGATAGTCTTCCTTATTTCGTCTTCAACAGTAAAAAAACAGGAGAACATGTAAAAAGATAAAAGTACAAACTGTGATGTACACTTAAATGTATTACCATTAAATTTACAATATTTTCTCATTGACAAATGTTGGTGTAATAGAAGTTACATACTGCTAAAATAATTTTAATGCCTCTTTTATTTGGAATCCCCCTTCTGTGTAAATGCAGGATAATACTAGTTCTGCTTCAGTGTCATTAATGCATTTGTTCAGACATATCAGTTTTATTGCTTACCGTTTGCAACTTCTCTTGCACTTAAGTTCCAGATTGTTTTGCTTTGCATTGGTCTTTGGAGAAAACATGGTCATTCTGCAGTGGAAAACAGTGGGCAATAGTTCATAGGGCCAAACAAGACCTGGCAATAAATGTCTCTTTGCATTTAATCTATAGGTTTGTAAACGTGCAAATACATCAGGTAGGGTACCATGTTCTCCTAGCTCACTAGAGACAAGTGAAAATAATGCAAACGTCCAGTAACTTCATTTTCTATGGATTACGAAATGATTGTAACATTTTGGTGTTACTGTTACAACAGTGAGGTGAATCCAAAAGTTCTCTTCCTCCAGAGGAAGCTTCTTCTTTCAGAGGAAGGGAATTCTTGCATTCAAACCCATTAAATAAGCAATCAAAAATATAGGAATATCAAAATCTAAGTTACACGGACAATCAGGCTGGCAATACACATATAGCCACTAACTCATATATAGTCATGCTTTGGTTCTGAAGGGATGCAGAAAGAGCGCAGGAATCTCAGAAGACGGGAGATTTCCAATAGCTGACAGAAAGGTTTCAGTGAACTACATATTTCCTGGCCCCACCCCATCACTAAGAAATCCAAATAAATTACGAAAAATGGTGATATTTGTAGACCAAGCTATGCAGATTTTGCTAAAATTGCATAATTTTAGACTTACAATTCCAATTTATTTGTGAATGTGCCAGTTTCCCGAACAAGCATTTCTTTAAACCTTAGTTTTAATAGTGTCAAACTAATATTTTTTACTCTTTAGCCCATTTTACATTACATTTTCCATATGTCAAACATGCTGTGACAATCATGCAGCTTCTCTTTCTACAATAAAATTTAAAAATCAATCTTAAAACACTAAAAATAATTACATAATATGTACTCACTGTGGCGCTGATGTGTAACCTGAGGACTTAATTTTATTATGGAAGACCAGCGGCTGATCTTTTATTGGGCTTTTTATACCTGAGTTTGAAAAAACATAAATAAATAAATAAATAGTTATAATTACAACTACCGTATTTTTCTCTCTATTACACGCAGATTTTTTCTCCTAAAAAGGAAGGGAAAATGTCTGTGCGTGTTATGGAGCGAATGTGGGGGGTCCCTGGAGCCGATTAGGGGAGCGCAGGAACAAAAATCAGCAAAAATCAATCCTGCGTTGTGTCCGAGAGGGAAACCTGAAAAGAGGAAGTGTTGCTTTCCTGCATTCTGCCTCAGGGTCTTACTGCCCACCCTCCTCTGTTTCGTTGCTGTGTTTGCTCAAACGGAACAAAGAGCAGGGAAAGCCCCTCCCCTCCAGGCAAGCAGAGGGGAAAGCAGAGGTCTTTCCTTATAATTCCTCTCCGTGCTCCTCGCAGGCAGCCAGAAAACATGCAGGAGGAGAGAGAAAGCTGGCTTCGGTTTGTGGAAACTTTTGCCTTTCTTTCTTCCCTCCCGTAAAATCCCTCTCCTGCTTTCTTAGCCAGCTGCTTCTCTGCACACCGCTCTCTTGTCCCTTCTGTGTTTTTCCTTCACTCCCCACTTAAAATGTAGTTACAAAGCATGGATCCACATGGATCCTCAGGATCTTTGCATTGGGCCACCCCAAATTCACCATCAGATCACATAGCAGCCTGCCCCCCTAAAATCACACACCCACTGTTGCCTGGGGCTGCAATGGTGCAAAAACGTGGTTAAAAAGCATGGATCCACATGGATCCTCAGGATCTTTGCATTGGGCCACCCCAAATTCACCATCAGATCACATAGCAGCCTGCCCCCCAAAAATCACACACCCACTGTTGCCTGGGGCTGCAATGGTGCAAAAATGTCGTTAAAAAGCATGGATCCACATGGATCCTCAGGATCTTTGCATTGGGCCACCCCAAATTCACCATCAGATCACATAGCAGCCTGCCCCCCAAAAATCACACACCCACTGTTGCCTGGGGCTGCAATGGTGCAAAAACGTGGTTAAAAAGCATGGATCCACATGGATCCTCAGGATCTTTGCATTGAGCTACCCCAAATTCACCATCAGATCACATGTCTGTGGCCACAGCATGAAGCACAAAAATGATACATCCACTGTTTCATTCAGAATTTTTTTCCTTGTTTTCCTCCTCTAAAAACGATGTGCGTGTTATGGTCAGGTGCGTGTTATAGAGCGAAAAATACGGTATATAGGTATAATAATTAGAACTAAGAAACAATAAATAAATACATTTAACAATCACAGTTACAAATATGGGTGCCTAGGAAGTTCAGGTTACTTTGTTTCAGCTTTTAAGATGTTGAACTTCTGCTATATAATTCTGTCTTTTAAAAGTATAATTATTTTTAAATTGAACAAACAGGATGCTCTGTGCAACAGGCCTGAGTTCCAGAGATGCAGTAATGCAAATCTACAGTCCCTGTTTGTGTAGCCTCTCTCACTGCTTCAATTGAGGGGAATGTTTCCATAAGTATTTATTTTGTCTCCAGTGCAGAGAGCATTAATATTATTTGATTTCTTATACACCACCCTTCCTGTAATGTCCACAGTGACTAATAATAAAAATAATTCAAAAACAAAATTAAATATCATATCCTATAATGTCAGTATTACATTATACATAAGATGCCCTCCCCATGATGTTCCAGAAGCCTACAGTAACAAGTAGGTTTTAAGGTGTCAGCTGAGGAAAAATAATGTGTGGATCAGCCTGATCTCAAGACAGAGGAGGTTTCAGAGCCAGGTACCATCAATGACTAGGAAAAATCTTGCATCAAGAAGAACTCCACATGTGCATGATCTTGCATCCAGAAATTATTGCTGGATATAGTGGAATAATCTGATCTTACATCAACTTACCTGGGAGTATCTTCTACCAAAACATTTATTTATAAATTAATATTTAATCCAATTCTTCAGTCCAAAAACCTCAAACCAGCTAACAAAGTCAGCAATAAAAACAGAACAGAAAGAATAACACAGCCCCAGAAAAACAGACAGACAGACAAAAGATGACTGGTTACCACCCCAGATACCTAGTCTGATGCCAGCTGTGTTCCCAGGTGGTACTGGGTCTTAACCCATCCCTTTTGGATGCTTCTTCACCCCAAACAAAGAATAGCTATTTATAAATAAGTGCCAAACTAGTTGAAAGTTTACCAAACTTACCTTTTTTATTTACAAGTTGGCTTTTTTCTTTCTTCAGGCACAAAGGAGAGGTTGGCAGAAGAGAGCACCTAAAAGAGACACACTTCCTTACCCGGGCTTTGGACGCGGGAGATGTGCATTTTTAGGACCCACCGTGATTTTGTAATCATATGCTGTTTTAAATTGTTTTTAACACTGGGCTTCAATTGTTGTAACCCACACTGGGATCATAGAGTAAGGGTGGGTTAATAACAACAACAACAAATCAAACAAATCAGAAGACTCATATATATATATATATATATATATATATATATATATATATACCATTTATGAAAGAGCAGTACTAGTGACTGTGTCACTGCTAGAAACACTGATTTTCAAAAAAGATCAGCTCCTCTCATGAGCTTGAAGATCAATACTTGAAGCTGATGATTACAACCCATCAACCCAGAATAATATTCACTTGATAAAATCTGGGGCAGTATTCGGGTATCTCATCCTTTCCCACCATTTAAAATTAGCACAACATGGTGGTATTTCAATCAAAAAGTCACATTTTCATTATGCAGCAGGTAATGCCATGTAAAAGGAACATTAGCATCTGGAAGAGAAGCACTAATGCTACAATCCCCACATCTGAATGTACCCTATATCTAACCGTTTATCTTCTAACCTGTGACAGATGTTAGCTGTATGGTAGAGATTCAAATAAACTGGTAGAGATTCAAATAAAACCAAGTGACTTAATGATTCATTACCTGGCAACTACAGAAAGGCCTTTCTCACTTCCACTTAAATGGAGTGCACTTTGCTGGGATCTCAACAGGGCAGCAACATTAATCTCCAGTAAGGCAATTCTATTCTCAAACATTGAAGTTAGCAAACAGAACACCTGCAGAGACATGTCCATGAAGCATTTCTCCCTTCAAACCAAAATAATGCCAACATAGTAAACAGTAATCAGTGGTTTGTAACCTAATGTCTGTGGGCGGAGTTCGGCTCATCGAACAGGACTTTCCCATCTCCCCTTTCTGTGCATCCCCCTCAACACCTCTAAAATCCACTCCTTAGGGGTGGGAAACCCTTTGGGACAAGGTGGGATGTAGTGGGCAGGGCTGCAGAAGGGTGGAGAAATTGGTGAAAATCAGGAATCCTCACACAGGAGACCTTTGGATCCAAGCCATTAGAATTAGTAAGACATGGGCTACTTCAGTGTCGTGTATGTGTGTCTGAAGCTCTGCGTTCATTTTACTTGAGACTTGTCTACACCAGAGTTTGTGTTTGCAGTTGTTTGCCTTCCCATTTAATCTACATAGTCCATATGACATTACTCTCCAACAGCACCAGTCTTGATGCTTCCCCCCGTAAACTGAGGTTTACCTGATATGGGGATAATCTGATGAATTGGGGGAACTGAACAACAAATTTGAGGTCACATACTATTTGTTTCGATGTTTCTGGGTGGATGGCTCAATCCCCGCTCAATCCCCTTTTTCAAGCCTATCCAAGCCTACTACTTCCTCAATTCTTTCATTTCTTTACCATTTGTACCTCTATTTCCAGGGCACTCCTGAACGGAAGACTGTAGCCTTATACATATATTAATTTTTATCTCTCGTATTTGCACAAAACTAGAAAACTACACAAGCAAATTCACAATTGTCTGACTGTGTGCTTTTGCACATTTCTTGGTTGGGGAAGTGTTTTCTAAAAGATAAAAAATAAATATCCATACGCAACTATATACACGCATGCCCTGTTGGTACTTTATTAGCATAATAAAATCAACAAATGAGAAGGCAGGGACAAACACAAAAGGGAATGCCTACTGGTATGAACAAGAAAGATCGAAGTTGCTCTGCATATACAAACTTGTGGTGTAGACTAATTCAAATAGGAAAAATGTGGATTGTCAGCTAAATAATGCTCAAAGGCAGAGAATCCCAGATACTTTGGATAGCAAAATTGGAAAATATTTATGCCTTAGGTCTGGGAGAACTGTAGCTGATTAGCGCTAACACAACAGAGCTAGTGATATAAACCAACAGCATAATTCTTTTTTTATTAGTAGTGTGCCACAAATGTGAGGTTTGCTTTCCCCCCAAACTTAAGGTTCCTCTAAATTTTCAGTTTCAAGGAAGAATAAACTGTGCTATAAACAATAAAAATAATAATATTTAAAAATAATTTCAATACTGTACTCACCTTGCCATTGATTGCCTTCCTCATTAAAGCACATGATCCAGCAAACTGAATGCTGAGGGTGCTGAAATCTTTACACACAAAAAACCCAATGTTATAAAACATTCTTTTCCTTTGCTAATATAGAAAAGTTCCACGTTAAATTAAATACTGGCTACAAGGCTTTCATCATATGTATGGTAAGTTGATATAATTCCACTGATTTCATCAACCTAACGCCAACGCATAAACTTCCAGTGCAATAACAAGTCAAACCTGCTAGCAGACAAGCACACCTCTGTAATTCTAACTAGCTAGTAGAAACAGAAACAAGACATGAACAATGAGCCTTGGGTTGATGTTTGCACAACAGAACTTCTCCCTCCTTTCCTGTCCCCTGCAGCTCTCTGCCCACCAGCAAAATCTGCTCCAAAGGGGCAGACTTTGAGGAGCAGACAGAGGGAGCAGAGAAAGGAGAATATCTGTTGTGCAAATGGAACTCCGCTTATGCAGTGATAGACTTCCCATATGTAAATCACACCAAGCTGTAATAATAAATTATCATACCTCTGTAATGTAAAACAGCTTCCAACTCAAAATTTGCCATGTTAATTATGAATAAACCAGTAGAGCTTCCTATCCACAAGCATGGGGCATTCACAGTAGGCAAACTAATTGAAAATAAAAAGAGAAATAGAGTATTTTTTTTAAAAAATGAATAAATCCGGCATTCTCTTCATTACAGATACAATGAGGTATTTTTAAGTTTCACAGCTTTTATACAGATAACTCATGATGTGAGCTGGATAATAAGCACACGTGAACATGTGTTCCTCCTTTCAATTAGGAACATTTAGGATTTCAGAAAGGGTATCTCCCAATCCTATCTCAAGATATTGATGATTGCACCTAGGACCTTCTGCATGCAAAGCACATGTTCTACTACTACTAAGCTATAGCCTGCACTTTAAAGTATGTTTATATTTATGTTTAAAAAGAAAGGTGCAGTGTCAAGATGATGAAGGAGGGAGGTTATGGGGAAACAGTGGTTTTACGTGGCTCATCAGCTGCATAGATATAAATGAACACTGACATGAAGATAGAAGTTTAAGGTTAGGAGTTATGATGCTTTAAGTGTGCAATTTTATTTGTAATTTGCTTATTCAAGGGTTTGACACTACACATTATTAAAATGGCATGCATGTCCTCCATACAATGTCTTCAGGTTATTACAGCAAGGCTGTAACACAGCATTAAAAAGTCATCACCTACTATAAAGTATTACATACACAAAATACTTTTATATGATTTTCTAATTCTTATTCTTCTTCTCTTTTTCATGACATACAATATCAAGCAGTGAATGAAAACTTAGTGCACTTACCTGTGTTCTTCATCACCTACATTTATCGACTTGTCACAGGGTTCAATTCTGAGAACTGGAAAGGTAGTTTCAACTGTTTCTTCTTCCCTTAAATTATTTGAAGTATATGCCTTAGAAGGATTCTGAATCTCATCTAGGGAGAACAGACAATGCCTATTAAACTAGAAACAAGTTGCTTAAGACATTTAATGAAAGCTAGAAGCAATAAGCTAAGTTCATAGCTATGCACTGGTGCTATATAACTTATCTGGCAGATCTATCTAGCCTGGGAAACTTGTGCTAGCAAAACACAGCTCCAAATTAGCTTCGATAATACAATTCTCAACTAGTATAAGACAATTTCTGTGTAGTACTATCTATCACAGAACACAGAAGGAGATGGTATCATACTGTCAATTGAATGTGACTTCTTTGGAGCTGACAAAGTTCATACATATATTCACATTATAAGTAAAGGCCTCCTTCAAGATCAGTCTTTCTGAGCTCTCTATTTTGGAGGCCCTCTTGATGACATCTGGATATAAAGTTAATCCAGATTCATAAAAAGTCTGTATAAGAAAAATACATTTTTAACCGTGTCATTGGCTAACTAGTAATATTTTAAAATGTTTTCCAGAAGCATCATGTTACCCAATTGTTCGGATTTCCTTATTTTGTTGTAAAACTTCTCTCTCTCTTTCTTTATATTTATATGTACCACACAGCGATACTGATGCCCGCTACTCAAGCTGAAGATCCAAAGCTGAAAGAGAGAATAAAACTATAAACTAGCTTTCTGCACTTCTCTTTTAATAAGTAAATGTTTCTGGTATTATCATCTTAATTCAGTGGTGTGGCCAAATGCCAAAACCTATAAATATAATAAAGTTCATCTCAAACATAAATTTCCATATTCTCCAACTTGTTCAGGAAATAGTATTTTGGCAACCAACTTTTTCTCAGGCAATCAAGTTGACTGTCTTTGATTTGGGCAAGATTTCTTCCTATATACCAGGCTTCCTCAACCTTGGCCCTCCAGATGTTTTTGGCCTACAACTCCCATGATCCCTAGCTAGCAGGACCAGTGGTCAGGGATGATGGGAACTGTAGTCTCAAAATATCTGGAGGGCCGAGGTTGAGGAAGACTGCTATATACATTGTGTAGATTCCATTGGAGGATTTGTAATACCTCATCACAATTTAGGATTTGCATAATGTCTGGGGAGGAGAACAGAGCGAAAGAGAAGTTAGGTTGCACAACAGCAATGGCCATGACACAGGAGCAAAAAGGGAGGGACAAACAGCAGAAGTTTAAGTAAAGCTGGGGTGTAGAGGAAGAGAGAAAAATGGCAGTTTTAAACACCAGAGGTTTGAGCAAAGCAGGGATGGAGGGACACAGAGTAAAATGGCAATTTTAAACACCAGAGATTTGAGTAAAGCAGGGATAGAGGGGCACACAGTAAAATGGCAGCTGTAAATAACAGCAAATGTTTGAGTAAAGCAGGGATGCAGAAGTTGGAAATGGTGCTTAGTACTCAAAATGTGGGGGGGGGGGGAGAGGCAGAAACTTATCATGTGGATAATGTGTGTGCAAAGCAGGTTGCACAAAAGGAGGTGAGAGGAGGCAGGAACATAAGGATGTAGGTGAAAACAGGGGTATAAAACTCAAATTACAACATGTCAAATTCCCAGAATGCTTCTTACCTGTCCATCTGCACATCCAGTGATAATCTGTTTATTTTCTTCATCAATGAAGAGACTCAGAAGAGGAAATGCTAGAGAAAAAGAGGCAGACAAGCAGCACAATATGGGAAAGAAAAAGAAATAAGGAACCAGTTGGACTAAACAGAAAATCCTCACTATCAAATCAATACAACAGTAAAACACAGAAACCAAAAATAATTAATACTCAATATAATTTTGCATCCCAATATAATGATATTTTATGGATACAGGAACTCCATAGCACACATAGCTGCAACATCTGTCCCATTCATTTCTATGTAGGTACAGTAGCAGATGCAATTCAGTGTTTTCCTTTGAGATCTGCTGCCTCCAGGAATTACAGATGGCACTTTGGAATGGAGAAATTCTACATATGCATGAAAATATATGTGAAGACTCTGGGTCATGGCAACTAAGTACAATTACTGCTGTCACTGGGAGTAGCATGGAGAATGGGAGTAATGATATGGAACTGAATGTATATTGCATTGTGTTGTTCTAACAATTTATTTTGTTGTTTTCATCCAAATAATAATATTGGAATGGATTAAAATGCTCATCTCTTATGTCAAGTATTATTCTATACAAAAAAGATGTTGGTTGATATTGATTCATTATTTTTAAAAGCATACCTGTTATTACTGCTGACTGATATATTAACAGTCCAGTACAATAGTCCCATACCTTTTGGGGGGAAAACATGGTAACATATAAATGTCAGTTTATATAATAATGAATGTAACCAATGTAATACTTTATAAAAGTCATTTGATTTTTCTGTTGATTCCATGGGATGGGAACAGAACCCCACAGACCAAGCAATGCAGAAAATTTAATTATGACTGAACAGTAGCATTCAGTTTTAATATCTGATCATGGAAAGCAAATTTGAAGATTATATAGTATACCCAGTCTTTATTTTCCTTCTTCTAATTAAAATATTCTTTATAGTAAAACAAAGCATATTAGCACTATATGTTTTAATTCTCCTTTTGTCTTAACATCATACTTAACATCATAGCCGCCCTGAGCCCGGTCTTGGCTGGGGAGGGCGGGGTATAAATAAAAATTTATTATTATTATAATTTATTATACTAAGCCTCATAGCCTGAGCCAAAATAAAAATATTTTTTAAAAAAAACCAAAAAGAGAATTTCCTTGCCTTAAAACTTCTGTCTTCAGAAACTGATATAAGTCTATTTTTTTCCCAAGGGCAAAACTCAGCAGCAGTCACTGGAGCCAGGTGACCCTCCAATTCAGCAAGTATAGCCTCATCCTGCAATTGATCCCAGAAGAAAAGCAGATAAAATTTCAAAATAAAATTGGTAGTGTCTGATCCCAATAAATGTGAGAAGTTCAAGTAATGTACTTGTCCATCACTTGTGAAAAATACAGCTACTTGATGGACCAGAGTACAACTTGCTTTCAAATGATTTCTACTTCTTTGATGGCACAGATAGCTATATTTCAATATCACACTGTGGTATGTTTGACAACATAGGCTCTCACCTTTGCATTTAGCATGTATATCCGATTGCCAGCACATACTGCCACTGTCTCATCATCTGGACTAAATCGCACATAAAGCACCATTCCCAAAAGTGTTCCTATAACAATGCCTTCTGGCATTACCCCTGCAATATTTGAAACATAACGCTAAATTATTATGACTATTTGACAAAACTAAAACTTCAATAGTTATGTGAAAGCTAGTTATTTTTAATAGCAAACAACATCATATATATTTTTAAGCAGGCTAATCAACATACTGATTTCTGAAGCAACATAGGTTGCAGTCCTAACCATGTCTGCTTAGAAATAAGTCCCACCTAATTCAATAGAGTTTACTTCCAGGTAAGTGGGATTAGGATTGCAATCTATACAATTCTACTCAGAAGTAAACCCTGCCTACTCTCAAGTAAATGGGCAGAATTACAGCCAAAAATATACAAAAAAACCCTCTGTACCATTGTTCTTTTTTCCCCTTCTGTAATACAGAAAAAGACAAAACCAACAGAAATTAGAAGTTTAAAACTCAACAAAACCTTCCCTCAGCATCTCCTACAACCATGGAATCTTCCCTCTTGATAAACTCCATTTCACAAGCATAAATCAAGGCTGGTCAGGAGAATCCCGCCCACTGAATTTTTATCACAAAGTGTTCACCTTGTAAAAACTTCTTCACGCATTCATCCAGATTCCACACTATTACATAGTCACGTGAAGCAGAGCAAATGAGGAGTGGGTCGTCTTTGCTCCCAAAAGCCAATGCAGTAATTGAATGGTGATGACCTAGTAAGTGTAATGGCTGACAAAAGAGTATTTGGTAATTTGAAATAGATGTAAAATACGCAGCTAATCAATCAGTTTCTTCCAAAATATTCATTTTAGTTATACAAACTATCTCTTGATCTCAGAGTGATTTATAAATTTAAATACAAACATTTCAAACATACTATATAAAAATATAAACATACAGCTAAAATACCTCCAGTCTAATAACCAACTAGCAAATATCTGCCCATTTTTAAAGGCTTAGCTTTTTCAGGGAAAGCTACTCATTACTGAGGACCAACGTGGCTGCTAATTTTATGAGTATCAAATATGGCTATCAAATAAAGGCTGCCCTTGCTTTTTCACCCCCAGATCGTAGTGACCACCCCTTCTGGCTCATATACTATATTGTCTCCTAAGCACTGTTTCCATTCATTTTCAAAGAATTTGCACAGGAGCACTGCACAGTGGATTGCATTCTTTGGAACATTGTTGTTGTTCTTGTTAATATACATCTTACATGCCAATCTTACGGATTCTTGAACATAAACTAAATCCTCAGAAAGAACTAAGTTTTCAACCTGGCAGTCAGGATCATCAGTAGTATTCAAAATACAAAGCTCATTCCCATTCAAAGGAAAAGCACAGTAATGCATGCTACAAGCAAGCTGGACATGTGATTCTGGCACTTTGGATCTAAAAACTTGTTTCTCAAGAACAATGCTGCTGCTGCATCCTTCTTCAGCAAAACAGAGGTCCACAGGGCTTTCCATTGGACAGCTGAAATAGACACCAAATTAGCATTTAATTAGAAATGTCTCATTCATTGGATAGCAGCTACATTTATAATATTTTAAAATATTTATGATGTTGAAGTAAAATATTTATGATATTTAATAGGACAACATGGCTAAATCATCACAAAATTATTGACCCCTTTATTAAAGGATAATAAATATGCAAGAGTAAGACAAGGGCAAAGCCTCACAGAATGCATAGGCATGACTTTGCAGAGAAGAATTCAGACCCATCATCTGCCATGGGGGGGGGGTAGGTTTGGGAGGATTTGGGTATCCTGTGCCCAGTTCTGCAAGCAGAGTTGCTCAGTCATCAGCAAGGGGGACCCAGCCACAAGGAGTGCTCCAATGTACCCACCTATTTCAACCAGGTCTGCAAAACCCCAAAAAAGAAATGAAATTTTGCCCAATTTGATTTCAAACCATGTAGGCAAATGAAGTATTTGTCTTCAGGTCAGGGTTTGAAGGTGCTGCTGACCAGCTGATAATTTACAATGCACATCTTTACATCAAACACGGCTGCTTACCAGTTCCAGTTAAAGTACTGCGATGTCTCAAGACAGTCAAACTTTATCCATTTCCAAGAGTGTAATGTTTAGGACTGCCACATCACCATGACTGTTTGGTTTTCTGGTTTATTTTCTTTTCTTGAAAGACCATAGTCATCCAATCATACACAACTGGATGAACATAGAATGCTGGAACTTCAGTTGTGCATTCCATTTTTGCCCATTTTTTATTTTGAAACAAAACGTGGACAAGCTGGGTAACAAAACGTGCCAAAGATGGGTAACTGTGAAAAGAGAACTGCTGGTGATTAAACTTCTCAAAAGCAAAGAGGATTAGACAGTTCCAAGTCCCTTTTTGGCAACAACATAGCAAAAGCTGACAACAAAGGATTTCCATCAGTGTTGCCAGACAGGCAACAATTCTCTTATATGTAAAAGAATTCAGTCTTTTTGAATTTTATCTTCAGTGCCAGTGTCCTACAAGAATTCAAGCTTGTTCAGTGCAATGCTGTACTAAATTATTTTGGCATCAGCTTTGTATGGGAGGACAGAACAGTATTTGCTTCCCAGGGCGGCTGGTGAGTCTCAAGCAGACAAGTGTGTGAGCAGGGGCAGGATTTTCTCTGGAAGTGCTGGCAAGGGAGTCGCGGATCACTGTGCTGTAAGGAATTTCAGCAGCAGAAACAGAGTGCGGGAGAGGGGCTTCCTTCTCTCTCCATCTGTCTCGTTTGCAGGTGCCAATGGCTCCAACTCCCATTAGCTCCAGTCAGCATGGCCAATGGTCTGGGATGATGGGAGTTAGAGGGCACCACCACAGCTGCACTCACCCCAGGTCAGTGTTTTTCAATCAGGGTTCCACAAGTATCTCCTCACACCCAGAGGTCCTAAATAAGAAAAAGACTCTGCATTTTATAGTGGTGAAATAAATTATTACCAGTTTTTGCTTTGTTTTGTTTTTCTCCTTTATATATGGGAGCGGGAAGAGGAATTGCCGGCTGCTTCCACTGGGCAGCACTGCTGTACAGCAAGAAACTTCCGCTGAGAGAGGAAAAGGCCTGGCAGACTTGAGTTCGAATTCTCCACTCAGCCATGAAGTTCACAGGCTGGATCTTGCAGCAGTCACAGTTTCTCAGCCTAACTTACCTCATGGGGTTGTTGTGGAGACACAATGGGCTGGTGGGGAGAGAACTGTACACCCCACCCAGAGCTCCTTGAAGGAAAGGTCCAAGACTAAGTGCAGGGCTGGATTTAGGTTTGATGAGGCCCTAAATTACTGACAGTAATGGGGCCCTTTATATGTCCAGCTGTCCTTTGTCAACAACAAATTGTCACTGTTTTTTTGTGTTGAATATATGCTATATGGTAATTTATGGACCTATAAGGTATCTAATGCCATTTGCATATGTTGCCATGGAACCAGTCCATGCAGAATGTAGGCACCCTATATATAGAAATGAGCAAACCAGTGATATTTTAGTGAGCGGGCTAGCAGGCAGGGCCCATGACTTACATCATTGGAGCCTACACAACACAAAACACTGTTGCTGTATGTAGGTTTTATTTTATTTCAACATCATCATCATCAAACCTTTTATTGGCATCACATACAAACATCCATAACATAACAGTATAGAGTTACCGCTTATTTTGTTTTTTTATCTTATATTTTGGAAATGTACATCTAGGGTATTTTTTCTTTAAATTTTTTTGGGAACCCCAAGAGAGTGGGGCCCTAAGCTATAGTTTGTTTAGCTTATACACAAATCCGGCACTGTCTAAGTGTCAGCAAATACTACAGAGCCGAAAAGGCTCGAGCAAATACTTGGGGATTCCGGCGTCCTTTTCAAATTGGCCGCGGAGTCCTTCACCGTGGCTCGTGGTGTGAGAACTGGGAGGGGGAAGCCCTCGGGGAAGTGGTCGCAGCGGCCCCCTTCCCTGAAGTGGAGCAACCCATGGCCCTCCTGCTGTGGAGGAAACAGGAGCGTCGACTCCCCTGCGAGGGGTCCGAACGCAAACTGCGCTCTGAGACTCTGACACTTGGCCATTGCTGGATTCCGCCGCGAAACCGTTGGGGGCGTGGCCTCCCGCAGGAATACTTACGTCAGCCAAGGCGCCGCGAGAGGGACGTTCAGTGATTTTCTTCTCGGAGAGCAAGGGGGCGGGGCTTGCCCCTTCCTAGCCCTTGCGGACACAGGCGATTAGCGGAGAAGGGGAAACTCGCACTCGAGTCCACCTCCGCCTCTGCCTCACAACCAGCAGCCGGGTACAGCTTTGGTCCGCCTGTCTTCGCCGTCCGCGGCTGCCGTGGAGACACCCGCCTGCCCTCGGAAGTGAGGGGCCAGGGAGGAGGTGGTTCTAATCCTTCCCCAGCGAACGGTCGAGTGCGGGGAGCAGTCTGGTTTCCTAGGTTACAGTGACGCCTACGGAGAGGCCGCGAGGCCAATTCCAGCCGCCGCCTTCGCGTCGTCCTAGCTCTGCAGTTGTCAAATGAACGGAGATTAGTTGACCACACGCGCGCGCCTACCCGCCCCTTGTAGCAAGGCTCCTGCAGATTTTGCATCTCCCGCGCCGGGGTGGAACAGACATTAAGAGGCCGACTTTCGACCATGGCTGTAATCCTATTCACATTTATTTAGAGTATGCCCAGATGAACTCAGCACTGTATCAATTTATGTACACAGTGAGAACAAATTAGAAATACCCCTCGTACTGCTAAATTTCTTACCCACTCTTACGCCAAACTTTTTAAAATTAAGGAAAGTGTGTTCATTAGTTCCACTGCAAAGGGGGGGAAATGTACAGTTGCAGAGTTGCAACATGGAAAACCACTGTTTTAGATCCACTGCCAGCTGCCAGGCAAGAGCTGCATCTGTGCCTACCCATTTCTTCACTCGTATCAGTTTCACTCTCCATAGCCATCAGAGTGAACAGCTATAACTACATGCAGAGAGGGAAGTCATACAAGCAACCAAGGGTGCAGGGAGCTGCGAGAGCAGCTATGGCTGACTTGTTTCTCACTTGAGATCAGATAAACATTTGTTCTTCAGTTTGCAGCCTAGCTAGACTAACAGGGTTGAGGGCATTATATGAATCGTTCTATTTAAATCTGTATTTCTGTGCAGTGACCCCTAATCCAGAGAGCCACATGAGGCAACAGAAAGCTGTGCACTACATTTTAAGTGAATGGATAAACAGTGCCAATTAATTCTTGGTGTATAGGTTCCTGTTGCCTCCTGTGGTTCTCTGTGTATAAATTGCCACAAAGAAATACAGACACTTTTATAATAATTAATGAGATTGTATTTGAGATGGCTGGAAGTGGAGTGCCCCGACTCCCAATAAGACATTTTAAATGTACTGGATGTAGCAGATCATATGTGCAACACCTGTTTATTTACATTGGATTCCATTGGTTGGCTCAGGACAACTACGTTTAGGACTACAGTATACATCCTATTGATTTCAATTAACTTGCATACTTTTAGTAACTGAGTGCAGCATTGCACTTTTAAGTCATGGAATCTAATATGAAGCAGCCCAAATGTTGTGTTTTTCATGTCTAAATTAATCTTCCAAATCTGATTACCTACAAAGACAAAGGACCAACCTTTTCTAACAGAAACCATATATGCCAAGGAAAGAATATCCAAGTCTAATATTGTGACCATTTATACACCATGAAATTGGAACAACATGTGGCTTCCATCTTCCAATAATATGTACTGATTTAAAATTTATGGAAAGAGCCCATTCTAAATCAGTTCACTTCTAGCAGTGCTTACATATTTGCAATTGCATGCACTTGCCCCCACTATAAGGGGGTGGAGTTGGGCACTGCAACTGCTGACATATTTACCAAGGAATGAAAAAATGAGAACCAGATGAGGAGCACCCAAAATGGCTGGCAGGTAAAAGGTATTGCCAAGAACATTCCTGCTAGTGGTAGACTACAGTAACTCCAGAGACAAATGTTTTGAAAGCAGAGCTGGACCCTGGAGCCTTTGTGGGCTCTTCTGCCATCTCATGATGGCTAGGAGCTGGCCTATTAACAGTCTTTCTTGCTCCCAAATACCCACTTAGCAGTCACAATCACTTAAGTGCTTTAATACTCTTATGTAGAAAGCAGATTGCACCATACTCTCTAGCAAAAGTTATCCCTAAGCCTTGCTGGGTCTCTTGTGACTTGCAGTCATCTGCCATCAAGGGTGCTCCATAGATGGAGATGCAGTGCAAATAAAAATATACCTGACATGAGGACATACTGAATATGGATCTCTGGGTTGTAGTTATTTTTCATATTAAGGTTTCATATTAAAGTTTTTAATAAAGTTTTTCTGTGCAACATTGTCAGTTTGAAGTCCCACTACTGAATCACGACACCCCTTAACGTTTTTGTTACTGCTTTTGGATAACTCCCAACTTTTTTTTTTTGCATTGCTGGTAAAAAGTGGGAAGACTTTTGTTTTCGTCTAAAAGCTTTTTATGCTCTGACGTGATGTATTTCGCTGGTCTTTTTCATCCTGGCCCAGGCCTGCTATTAGTTCATGCTTTCTTTGCAACAACAATGCGATTTCTCCGTTTGAGAAAAAATAAAGTAGCCAGCTAATGGCAGCAGCCCGTGGTGCCAAGCACATCGCAAACAAATCACATGCATCTAAACGGGTTGCATTTGTATAAGGTATTATGTAGTTTTACGTATAATTGTGGTAAACCGCTCTGATTTTCATTGTTACTAACAGCGGCGTATAAATACTTTTATAAATAAATAAAACACACAGCGCACGGGCTATTCTCAAGGTTTCACATAGTTTTTAAAAAGTCCCGCACAGCTGAATCCACCCACGTTGCGTCCCTTCGGGGCCCGGTTGCCATAACGACAGCAAGAGGAAACGTCTCTCCCCCCCCGCCCCTCACTTGCCCCGCCCCACTTGCCAGCCTTGGCTGAACGAAAACCAGCAAGTCTAGAAACAGGCCGGGGTGTTTCCAGCCTCAAATCTCGCGGTGTTACAGCGCTGCGTGCGTCGCGCGCGCGGGCAGGCGGGCGGAGCTGTGCTCGACTTTCTGTCAGAGGCTCCGGCGGCCTCTTCGATGGTGGGCGGTGGGCGAGCGGAGTGAGCTGGGGCGCGGCGCTAGGGTGAGCGCGGGCTCGGCGGCGGGCTCGGGTGAGGAGGTCGGCGGTGGGGCGGACGCTTCAGCAGTTGGTGGGCTTCCCCTTCCTCCGCTTGGCACTTTTTGCAGCAGCGCCTGAGTGTAGGGGGCGGGGAAGCTTTTCGTTTTCTCTCCCCTCCCCCCGCCCCGCTGCTTCTGGGGCAACTAAAGGCCGGGGAAGAAGGGGGGGGCTCTTCATCCCGACCCCCTGAGGGTTATGTGAAGGAGGCAAGTTGCCAGGGAGGCGGGGGGGGGGCAAAGCCTTCGCTCCAAAGTGAGCTCCACGTTCTCCCCGCCCCTTGAGATTCCCGCCCACAATGCTTTCCTTCTCTCTCCCCCCCCCCCGCCCCACCACCCCGAATTCCTTCTCGGAATCGGAAAGTGCAGAGTTCCACAGGTGGGGTCGAAGCACCGCTGTCTCTGCTTCTCTTTCCAGACTGGGTGCAACTCTTTCCAGGGAAAGCGAGGCTGCTGGTGGGTGTCCCGGACTTCGCCCGTCTCGGGGAAGATTTATTTGCACAGGTTGTCGTGCCCAGTTGAAGGTGCCAAAACATGGGTGCGGTGGGGCAGAGTTGCGGAGCTGCCAGTGACAACCGGTGTTGCCGCTGCTTCTCTGGACAGGGTTGGGGGCGGTGACCTCGAGGGGCTCCTGTCCGGATAAGCGGCAGCAACACTGGTGTCAGAATGACAGCTCCTACCCACTGCATGTGCTGCTGTTGAAACGCCATAATTGACTTGGGGCCCCAAAGATCTGAAGGAGTGCTTGCTAGCTCCCACATCGACCTGGCCAGGTGTAGCCTCCAGGTTGGTTGTGGAATAACTTCCTCACCAAGCTGTGTCTTGTGGCATCATTATATACTTTTGGATTTTTGGTCAAGATGCACCTCTTTATCCAGGCTTTTTAGCCAAGTGGAGGACTTCCCACCAACTATGTTGCTGTCCTGTGCTGCTGTTTTGTTAACTGTGTTATTGGTTAGTTTTGTGGATTTATTGTATGACTTGGGGCATTTTCATAAACTGCTTGGCTGGGATCTCATGATGAAAGGCAATTTTGCCTCTTATTGAAGCTGTTGTATATTTGTCGTATTCTGGCCTGTGCCCTTATTTCCCAATTTTTGTGCTTCTCATAACATTGGCATGTATTTTTGCTATTCAGAATTTAATGGGTTTTAGCCTTTATGTAGGACTAGCCTATGACACCAATGCAAAACCTGATCAATATCTTGTGCAGTATTCTCTGCACTCATGGTAGCTTCAGAGTTAATGCAGAGGCTGCAAAATGGGGCTATGGGGCAGCGGGGGGGGGGGGGGGAGAGAGACTGAGCCAGCCTAGAATCCAATGAATTCTGAACCACACCCACTGCCATTACTTACAGTATCAGACCTCCTTGCTATGTGTACTTCTGGCTGGTATAGCAGTGTTTTTCCTACCACCACCTCTCCATGAGTGGCAGGGCTTTGGATGAGGTGTTGATTGCACTGTGCTGGCTGGCTACAGTTAAGATTGCTCACTGTGTTGTATTTAGTATATTTGCATTATGTGTGGCTTGGCTCTTTGTGCCATTTGGATTACCTTGTTAACTTTACCGACTGTCCTGCATTGGTGTACCTGTGCAAACTGTTATGTGAGAGTAGTAGTGATTGCTAAGAGAGCACAAATTATTACAGCTACTTAAAAGACAGTATGTTGACTGTCTACAAATATTCATAGCTACTCTTGGAGAAATGGAATCTTATTATTTGACAGTAAAATTTCAAGTGACAGAACAAGATTTTTCTATATCCAACACAGGTGTTATGGCAGTCTACTGCAAGAGGGTCCTAGTAATACTGCTTGCTTTTCAAGGACTTCTAATAGCGACTGCTTATAATGAGAATGAAGACATACCTGAAGAATGGATTCTTCTTCATGTGGTTCAAGGTCAGATTGGTGCTGGAAACTACAGCTACTTAAGGTTAAATCACGAAGGGAAGATAGTGCTTCAGATGCAGAGTTTAAAAGGGGATGCAGACTTGTACGTATCTGATGTGACCCTTCACCCCAGTTTTGATGATTATGAATTGCAGTCAGTAACTTGCGGTCAAGATGTCGTTTATGTGCCAGCGCACTTCCGCCGTCCAGTGGGAATAGGGATTTATGGCCATCCCTCTCATCTGGAAAGTGAATTTGAAATGAAAGTGTACTATGATCAAACAGTTGTGGAATCTCCATTTGGTGGTGGCTCCTACAATCCAGAAGATACAGATTTGAACCAGAAGCAGTTTCATGCAAGAGAAGATGAGTCTCAGGATGAAGAATCAGTCTTCTGGACTATACTAATTGGAATATTAAAATTAATACTTGAAATTCTGTTTTAGATTCAGAGCTAGACAACAGGTTTCACATGTGAACAATATAGACAATTGAATGGATGCTATTATGTGAGCATTAGTACTAACTGATACTTTCTTTGCCAGGGAGGGGGAAATAAAGCCATAACAATTTTTGTATTGTAAACTTTTCCCACAGGTACACTGCAACAGGCACAGTATTTGTATAAGTTTTCTCTTAACTGATCAGGGTCAAATATGAATTTTACAGTTCACTGTGACTTTGAATAAAACTGATTTTCTATACAAAGATTTTACGAATAGTAAAAAGACTAATTTCCACACAGTATTTCAGCACATTTCAATTATAAATACTTTAACCTCTTCTGTATGAATACACTAGGAGCAAATACCATTTTTAAATGCTAGCAGCTTTTGGAACATGAAAGCCATTTAACTAAGGCTGCTTTCATACGATATAACATCCTAAAAAAGAAAATATGAATTATCCTCCTTTTCTTGTGGTTTGAAGGGAGAAGCATT